GAGTCAACATTACAGTTATATAAACCTTGTTTCATCCTGTAAAAGGTGGTTAAATCCTTCAACTCTCGACGGTGTAAAAGAGGAGGAACATCAAACTGTTGGAGACGTTCCACATATTCCAATTCAGGCAACAAGATCCGTGTTGCTCGGCGTTGAACCCTTTCGATTTTCTTAATTAATGTGATTGATTTTGGGCTCCAAACCTCAGAAGCATACTCTAAGTTACTCCTTACCAGTGCGCAGTACAGTGATTTCATTGTAGGTAATAAGCACTTTTCCCTCGAAACTGTACGTCTAATAAAGCCCAGCATCTTGTTCGCTTTATTTATCTGAATATATATATGTTCATTAAATGTAGCATTACTAGTTATATGGACTCCAAGATCTCTCTGTTCGTTTACTCTCTTGATAACGCAATTAGCTATTTCAAACAGGGTTGCGTTTCGTTGTTACTGTAGAGATGGTACACTTGTCAATGTTAAATGGTAATTTCCATTCAGCACTCCAAGTAGTTAAATTATTCAAGTCCCTTTGTAAAGCCACGCAATCGGCGTCTGAATTGATTGTACGTAGACACTTCGCATCATCAGCAAACAATGCGAATGTTAACGGGCATTCATGATTTTTTTAGTTACTGCATAAGATCTCTTATCGATATCTTTAATTGTTAACGATCAAAGAGTGTGAGCTAATTCTTTACTAGTTTTGAGTCCGCTGTTTAGTTCTGGTTTGTTAGATTTAATGAAAAGTGTTTCCATTAAAAAGAGCTCTTGTAAAACACACGAGTGCTTGTTTTACCAAATTTCACGAGAAACCAATCGATTACGGATTAATAATAATATGGCTAAAAATGTTCGACACAAAATTGCAGTTTGAAACATACGTTCATATCCAACGGTTTGAGATCAATGAAAATTTGACGTTTTTCTGCGAAAACTATTTTCGATAGCGACTTAATTTAAATACCTTTCGAACATCGGCCCCAGGTAGTCAAGAAATATTTAAGAATGTTATACAACCAACCAGAATGTTATGCACATCATATTCTGGTTTGTAATATTTGCGCTTCCTAAATGCTATTTTTCTTTTACATAAGAACATAAACTTTTCGCATTGCGTGACAACTATAATGTTAGGCCAACAGGCGCATTCATATAGTTTCCAATACATGTTTCATGTTTTCGTGCCAAACTTGGAAAATTCTTTATCGTTTCATTAAAAAGAATATATAAAGTTCGTTATCCCAAACTGTTTTGTGACAACGAAATGACTATATTACTTCAAATGGTCGTTGCTTTAACGGACAAGCAAATTAGAGATGAAATAGAAATAATTTAAAATACGACGTTAACAGGCTGAATTAATATTCGATTAGCGAATATGATCATCAAAGATATTCAAGCAGGTGTAACTATAGTAACTCCGCAGGCATAGCTCCTGTTACCTGAGTGTTCAGTTTGGAGAAGACGCTGCACATAACGCATACAAATTGACTAATTTTTCTCCCTTTCAAAAAAATGAAAAGTTTTCTTAAAAAAACTTTCTCTATACCAGAATATGTTTTCCTGTTCCCGCTGCTTGTTCCTGTCAAATTGCAGGGAGACTCTTGCACGGAGTTTGGTCATATGGTAATGCCCTTTCGTTTGCTGTGCAAAGGTAATTATGTAACAATTCAGTCACACCAAACCATTAAATTAACTGGCACTCAAAAAGGAAAAAAATTGTGACATGGAAATTGTATAGATCTTAGCTAGAAAAGTATAAAATTCAAATTCCATTCTAATTTGCTGGAATTTGCTATAGTCAGGGCCGTAGGAAGGTCTTTTCGATTGGTGAAAGCGAGGGCCGAACGCCCGAGAAATTGAAATTTTTAAATTTAGAGTCTCTGAAATGCCATTTCCTGGACATTGGGGGAATATTTGACAGAATTTTGATAGTCAGAAAACAGCGTTTTAGTATGTCGAAATTTGGAATTTAGGACTAAATGGGCGAAGGCGTATTTAAATAACTATATATTGAATAAGTTGCAGGAAAGTATGGGTAATACCTTCATTCAAATGATAAAGGTCTGCATGGTTTTGAAAAAGGAATGATTATTAGCAAATTATTGGGGAAGGGGCTGCAGCCTCCCCAGCCCTCCCGGTTGCTACGGTCCTGTATAGATGTTTAGTGTTGAAATACCGTTGATGTATCAAAACAGATTTTGGTGTTGTTAACTTGATTTCCGTACTATACATATACGCATAGATATAACTATATTTTTAAAGTACCTTTTGTTTATTTCGTACATTGTCTTCATATACTGTACGCGTTATATAAAACTACAAATGTCATTACAACACGCACGATGTGTGAAGTAATTAACTCTGGAGGTGTTCGTTACCATAGCACGACTGAGCCTGGTGTAGGTTCTGTTGATCAACAGACGCAAATGTACAAATTGCGTTAATGAGCAAGCTGATATGATATTCTATACCTTTTGGACCTCTAATATTAACATTTAAATAGAAATACATGCATGCAACGATCCCTCGACTATATTTTCCAAGTATTGTTTCAACATGAAGTATTCGTAATTATGCCAACAGTGAACGCCGGCTCGGGGCTCGCGTTGTACGTCATGTCAGTCATGGCAACACGATAATTGTTTTTTAAACTTTTTGTACGAACATGCAAAATATAGATGAAACTTGAACACTGTTGAATACAGAACTATCAATTTTAAAATATATAAAGTAGGTAAATTCATTGCTTTCTATGGGCTTTATTGTAATGTAAAATTCAAAACGAAACTCTACAGTATGTAAAACTCTTTTAAATGTGAATTGAAATTAACCGCTTTTAATTTTGCCGATATTAAGCTAATAAACTCTTCAACTCGAGCTTCAGCTCATTACTCGCACTTTGGAATGAAATAAATTTAATTCGTACACGATGCTTATAAACATAATTTGCTTTCCTGTTTATCATGAACTACAGCAAAAGTTAATTTAACTAAGATATTTCACATACAATGCATAGGAAAGACCAAAACGATAGCGTTATAATTGACGCAGATCTTGACGCAGATGTCACAGGTCTGAACTCTAAATCTGCAATTAATCGAGGGAAAAAAGTTACAGCTATAGCAGGAGACTCTATTATAAAGAACATACAAGGCGCCAGACTGTCAAACCCCCAAAATCACGTTGTTGTTAAGAGTTTTGCGGGAGCTAATTCAACGGACATGGAAGATTACCTACGTCCAATTCTTCGTAAAGAGCCCGATAAAATTATTTTGCACGTTGGGACAAATAATATAAGTCATCAATCGGCTCGTAGAGTAGCACAAGGAATTACCAATCTTGGCACTCAGATTGTCCAAGAGTCGCCTGCAACTATTTTAGTCATATCTAGTATCCTACCTAGAACTGACAAGCCTGAACTATCTAAGAAAGTGGTTGAAACCAATGAACTTAGTAAGGCTTTTTGCAATGGAAACAACTGGGAATTTATGGACCATGCAGCTATTGACTCCTCCTGTTTAAACATGAGAGGGTTACACCTCAATCGTAAGGGTACCACAACAAAAGCTAGAAATATTTCTAGCTATATCAGTACTACATAGCTTATTGCCAGTGCACAGTCCGATACCAATTATTTAGAAACAGATACTAATAGCGACAAAGTCAATATGTTAGCTAATGTTTTTCGCAAAGGCCTTATTATTGCCTCTCTTAATATTAATAGTCTTCTAGCTCATATTGATGAATTAAGGGTGTTTATTGCTAATTCTAATATTGATAGTTTAGCCATTAATGAAACTAAGCTTGATTTCTCTATTGATGACGACCAGGTACATTTGGCGGGGTAAGATATCGTTAGGAAAGATCGAATACAAATGGTAGAAGTGGCGGTGGAGTGTGTATATATTTACGAAGCAACTTGAATTTTCGTTTTCGCGAGGATCTATTAAATGACAACCTTGAACGTCTCGTAATTGAAATTACTAACCCTCGCTCTAGGCCGCTTCTTGTCGGTACTTGGTACAGACCTCCAAGTTCTCCTCTTGATCTCTTTTCTCACTTTGAGGTTTTAACGGATAAAATTGATTTTGAAAACTCCGAATTTCATCTGCTTGGCGACATAAATTGCAATATGCTCTCAGGGTCGCCCGACTCTAACACCTCCGAACTTTTAAACATTTTAGATATTTACGATTTTCATCAACTGATTACAGAACCTACTAGAATATCTTTAACTTCGCAAACTCTAATTGATTTATGTATTACCAATTTTTCTGATAAAATAACAGCATCTGGTACTTTTTCACTGGGTATCAGTGACAATTCACTTGTTTACTTAGTTCGCAAGTCCAGCTACCCTAAGTGGCAGATAAATAAACCGGTGATAAGGAGAGATTTCAAACAATTTAAGGAAGCCAATTTCCTACATGATTTAAATGAGTTAAATTTTGACGAGGCTTCCCATTGTGAAAATCCTAACGAAATGTGGTACAACTGGGCAAATAAAATTACGTTGGTGATCAATAAACATGCTCCCTTTAAAAAAAAAACGTCTAGGGAAAATGAAATCTCCGTGCATTACACCGGAAGTTGTTTCAAAAATGCCCCAAAGAGATTCTCTAAAAAAGAAATTTGACATTACTAAAGATGAACATATTTGGAATCAATATAAAAAAGCTCGTAATGAAACCAATAATCTCATTAAGCAATCAAAACGTAACCATTTTACATCTAATATTGAAGCTGCAGGTAACGACCCTAAAAAAACTTGGAAGTTTATTAACGAACTGACCTCTCGTAAACAAAACAGGTCGGGCAATGTTAGCAAAATTAATTTAGATGATAATAATGTAATTACAGAGGCCTCAGAAAATACAGATGCCTTTAACTTTCATTTCACCAATGTTGGCAAAAATTTAGCGAATGACATTAGTAAATCCAATGTAAATCCTATTCAGTACATTAAAAGGCCAAATTGTGTTTTTTCATTTCAAGAATGTCATATTGATAAAGTCAGGCAGTTTCTAAAGCATATAAACGTTGCGAAATATACTGGTCTGGACAATCTTCCGTGTAAACTACTACTAATTGCAGCCGATATTTTAGCACCTTCCTTAACAAAACTATTCAACAAATCACTATCCACGGGCATCTATCCTAGTGATTGGAAATTGGCCAGGGTTGTTCCTATATTTAAAAATGGTGACAGATCAGATTTGAATAATTATCGTCCAATCTCCATAATCTCAAGTGTTGCAAAAGTTTTCGAAAAAATCGTATATGATCAATTTTACGAGTACTTGTCAGTGAATGATCTATTCTCGCATCAACAATCGGGATTTCGACCTACTTACAGCACCGTAACGGCTCTACTCGAATCGACAAATGACTGGTGCGTAAATATCGATAATGGTCTGGTAAATGGAGTTATTTTCATTGACCTAAAAAAAGCCTTTGATACTATTGATCACAAAATTCTCATAAATAAACTTGAATGCTATGGAGTTGATTGCAGTGCTCTAGGCTGGTTTAAATCTTATCTGTCTGATCGTAAGCAAAGGTGCTTCGTGAATGATACACTATCCAGTAGCCGTTCTTATACTTATGGTGTTCCGCAAGGGTCAATAATTGGACCTCTTTTGTTTTTGGTCTATATTAATGATTTGCCAA